AACTCTCTCAAATGAAAGTGATGAATGAGAAAGAGAAAATTGGATGGTCACGCTGAGATCTGCAAATTTTTAAAAATCACAGATTAAATTTTTCCAATGTTAAATTTTTAAATTTTCAGTGTTAAGTATTATTTTTGCTTTTTCATTTTTTTTAAGTGGTAATATTCATTTTTCTAGAACTTAGTCTTTATTCTAATAATATCGGTTGCGGGTGGTGCTGCATAGATTTCGACGATGCGCAGAATGGATTAGACAATTCAAAATCTGATGTGTGCGGCATGCGCAACATTTCCCCTCTCCCCCCCGTATTAAAACTCAATCTTTTTTTATTTTTTTTTTTCATACTGTTCACTTAAAATAGAGGTCATCTTTGACTTTAGTAGCCATATTCATAGAGATAATAGTTACATACTAGAATTACTTTACAGCAACAATTAAGATGTTAGTATAAGAAATCATTAAATATAGCAGCCCATCCGCAGCTTCTCTCAAATGTTAAAATTTGTTCACAGTTATATTGCTCGAATCCACCAGTAAAATGTTGTTTTGTTAATGTGGGGTTTTGTCTAACATTAAATCAGTAATGACGTGCTGATTTCGGTTTAATGTGCAAACCATTTTGTTAAAAAATTTTAAAGAAAAAAATTTATCTATCAAGAATATAGATAGAAATAGTGGTGGTTCTAAAACATCATTAGGAAAAATGATTTATTAATGAGGTCTTGAATGAAATTACGAGACTAGGACTGAAAACTTCTGTATCTCTTGCAAAGTCTTCTGCATCGAATCTTATGAAAGGAGAAAAATCGACAGCTTAAACAAGCTGTTTGATGTTTAGTAGATGAAATTTGAAGAGCAATGTTATAATACCTGTCTTCTAAGATCTAAAATTCTGCTCAAATTATAATAAATTAATATATACAGAGGATCCATATCGCTGCGATCCAGGACTCTGGTTTTTAAATAATTTAATTATTTATTTAAACGCAGAAAATTATGATTATTTCACCTATAAATGATAATGATACAAAATTTGACGAGAGATTTGTGGTACTTACTAAATTCACCTCTGACCTTAAAGGACAATATATTTCAGATCCATAGAGTTGTAACCTGCTGACTATCTTTAACTCTTTCTATTTTAACCCGCTTAAATGGAAGGGAAAGTATTATGATTTTTAGTACTTCTATTTGAAATAACAGAATCTCAAATTTTATTATATAATGAATATTTATACTGCAATATTTAACGAACAAGGAACAAAAATTGTTAATAAATCGAAAACATGGAAATAAATCGGCCATTTAATTATGTACGGTTAAGTTTTTCTTCAGTTATTTGTGGAATTTTAAGGTAAGCTTAAGCGAAATCTAACTTTCACCCTAAATTTTAATAATCGGAACAGCAGAACAACTGTTTCCCCAAAAAATAATTTTTCATAATGTTGCAAATAAATTTGGATTTTATTGTTAATAAACATTTCAGGATCATCGATTCTGTGTACGGGTGATCATCATCGATCCATAACTTCTTGAAGCGGTGCTAGCTTTGGATAGCGTGATCTCATTGCATTACCAAGTGTCTTTGTTAGGCTTTTAAGATAATTTTGTTGTATAAATGTTTTGACGCATATTCTTTCCAATAAATTTTTCTGTAGTGTTGGCTTTAATTAGGTAAAACTCGTTTTTTCGAGGTCAGAATCTCTATAGATGGGATTTAAAAGTTTTTTAAATTAGTAATTATTGAATTACTACGGAAATATGATATACAGTCAGCAATATCTTCGGTGCGTAATTTTTTATCAGTAATCCACTCCGTACTTGGATTTCATGATGGACATTCGTCTTTGATATATTAAATTAAAAGTTCGTTTTCTGATGCAATATGTACTATACGTGGTCGAAGCTATGGTTCTGAGAGCTTTAATGGTTGGCAATAAATTTAGTTAGAAAAGAAAAATGCATCCGAAAAGATTGGATGTTGAGTAATGATCGTTTTGGCATTTGTATGGTTCTGGGAAAACATTTTTATTTCACTCTTGGCAAGATGTAAGAAACTGAATTAACTGATTTAATCATTTTACTTGTAAGTTGATGAGTGATTTTGCGTGGAATGAATTAATGCTAAATAAGCTTTTGAATAATATTGATATATCAGCATTTATCAGTGTCTCTCTTGTGTCTTCGCGATATAGGGATAACAAAGCTGGAAAGTTCCCAAGCAGTATGGAGTGTATGATACTGGCTGAAGTTAAGTAAGCTGAACTGCTGGATAGATAGTAAATAGAATTATTAACTGAGAAGACTTAAAAATTTTGATTTCCTTACATATTTTCACATCTATAATCGGTCGAAAAAATTCCCAAATGAGTAGTTGGAAACTAATTAGTATTAACCAGATCGTGTTAGTATCATCCAGAATTTTGTATTGATTGTGGTGTCATTGGTTGTCCATGTAAATGTGTTGTATACTCTTTTGTTTGAATGAGTAAAAAGTGCTGGAATAGTTTTGCAGCAGTAGCTCTCACAATCTCTTATTTACACTTTGAATGTCATATGTTCCATCTGGTTTTGAAAAATTTTGACTTATGCACTCTTCTTTCACCCGTTCCGTGTGTTTTGTGTGCAGCAGGTAACTGCACGAAACTTGTATCTTTGTTCGTTCTGTCATTTCCGCTGTGCATTACAGTGAGAAGTGGAAGAGCACATTTGCATTTGTTATTTTTTTGTTCTTTTGGAAATATTACTGTTTGGAGCATAAGTTTAATCTTGTTCAGTGAGATGTATGAGAAGATTTAAAAAAGTACAATTTTCCTTCGTAAAATGCGAGTCGCATTACACCGTACTTTACAAGGAATAAGAATAAAGTGTTAAAATGCTCATGTAGAGATCTTGCCAGATTTTACAATACTAGTTTCTTTCTAAACATACTATTGCATTTTGTTTCAATTTTGTTTTAGATATCATTTGAAGTTTGAAGTCCCTCATTCAATTCAGTTTTTTCGAACAATCTGCGAAGTATCTAATAATCTAAGCATTTTGTTTTAAAATTCATATCCAGATTTTACAGTGCTTCTGAATTCAATATGCCGGTGAAGATCGATACCAACAAGGAAGGCGACGGTTAGTTTACTGTTTCACATTTCAGTCATTAATATTCAAAACTTCATAACGTCTGTTGGTTCATCCGCTGATTTTATTTTCAAGCTGTTAAACTTGTTAGAGCGACCTGACCTATAATGGCGGATGCGCCCCAATATTTGTTTGAATTGGCTGATACATTTGGAGTTCATATTTCTTTATATCTTTTTACACTGTGTAATAATGCAAAGTAAGGAAATGCTTATATCGAGTGTTCTGCAAAACTGATGGAATATTCTAGTAGATTTTTAGGGGATAAAATTTTTTTTCAGGCAAAACATTCCCGAAAGCGGGGCAAACTGTAACTTGCCACTATGTGCTGACTTTGGAAAACGGAAAAGAAGTAAATTTTCCAATTGTTTTAACAATTTTAGTGTAAGTTCTCGTTTGAGGTTTTATTCTTTAATATATTTGATTTTCCAGTACTTTAATTAGACTGATTTTAGGTAGACAGTTCTCGTTCACGTGGCAAGCCATTCAAATTCAAGATCGGTTGCGGTGAAGTCATCAAAGGATGGGACGAAGGTGTTGCAAAGGTTTTATTTTTCACATATACTTAAATTAACTGTTGTAATTTTCTCCAATTCTCGTTTATGAAATTTAATTGTGCTCAGCATTTGGGAGATAGTTAAATATTGAACAAATCAGTAGATAAATTTGAGTCAAACTACGCATATAATTTGCAGATGTCTGTTGGTCAGCGTGCAAAGTTAACAGTTTCATCAGATCTTGGTTATGGTAGTCGAGGGATTCCAGGCGCTATACCACCAAATTCAACTCTGATTTTTGATGTTGAACTTCTTGGTGTGGAATGAAGGTGGTGATCTTACTGTGTGATTCATTTGCTGCCATCTACCTCCAATTATCTCTGATTGTCCTTACCTTTGATAATAAAAGTGGTAGATTATTTTACATTGCAACTCCTTCGAAACGATCAGTAATTGAGATTGAAGCTTTAAATTAATTTCTAGATTTTCCGTGGGGTTTCATGTTTCCTATTAAAATATTGGTGTGATTTGTTTTATTCTTTCTTCTCTCACTTGCACTTATTTTACTCTCCCAACTTAGTAATCTGTAATCTGTTACTGATTAAAATGTTGGCAGCTGCTTGCTGTTTTGTTCTTTTAATTGACATACTGATGAAGTTTGTTTTACATCCTTAAGATGTTTCGCTTAATGTCATTAAAAAATTGTTTCTCCAACTATAAGCTGTTGTTGAAATTAAATAGCTTTTGTTGTAATGTTCTGGTATCCTTGTTTTATTTGTAATCTTCAGATTAAAAAAATCTTATTTTGAGAAAGGTGTTCAATTTGCTCTCTCATTTATTGTCTGGTCTAGTTTCATGTATATTAGAAAAAGAATCGATTTTGGAACGAATTTATTACTATTGTAAACCTTTGCAGTTACACAACGAAACGAAAGATATATATTATGGATCAGTTAGAGTAAAATGGATGAGTTAAGATTGAGGAGTAGGAGCTTTAGTAAGCTTTAGTAACGAAATAAAAACTGTAACTTCTGATGTTTAGTGTAAGATTACTCTCAGTGCTGAAAGTTGATGCTTGAATAAATTGGATTCTTGTTCTTGGCGTTGGCAAAATTCCAATCTTGAGTTAATTGTTGATTTTGTATGCGGTGCAGGTCGTTCACTTGTCAAGGAGTAGCGCATCTTTATTGTGAGAATTATTACCTTTTGCTGCTGGATTATAGGTTTTGGGATATTCGATTTTGGGGTTAATGAAGGCTGAAAGATGGTGATATGAATCAAAGACTAACTAAGCTGTATTTGCAGAATGTTGTTAGCTTTGGATTGATAACGTGTCTTAACTGTTGAAAATCTTCAGTGGAGTGTTATAAAATGTGGAGTCAACAACTTCAAGTTGTTGGTAAAAGTCGATATTTCTTAAGCGTTTCACCGTCTACGTCGTTAATTCGCCCAGGTGAATTTTATAAAAGGAAGTCAGCATTCTTATTACTGACTGGAAAAGTTAGGTAAGCTCGCATTAATAAGACTGTATGGTCCTCTATTGTTTAGAAGGTAAAGTTGTGAAGTTCATATAACAATTTTGCTAGGGAAAAAATCCGTAAGAAAGAAATGAAGTATTAATCTGAGAGAATACTGGCTTTTGAGTCGTTTTAAATCTTATTTGATGTTTGTATACGGCATGATTTCTTTCCAGAGCGCTGAAAAGTTCTTTTTCAATAATCATAATGAAAAGAGCACATAGCGGGATTATGATTAATAGAGCAATTATATAAAAACGAAATCAGTTTTTGAATGGTTTGATGTTATTTTTGTGTTGTTTACTTTCTTCTCATATTTTTAAGCAATTGAATTTGCAGTTCGAAATATGTTTATCCAAGTGCAGGACACTCCTAATCCGGCAACTCTGAAATTTATTCCGGGTAAAACGATTATGGGAAAAGGTAAAGGGACGCTTGATTTTGTTAATTTCGTGTCTGCAAAGAGGAGTCCATTGGCTATGTAAGCTTTCATGTTATCCATTTATACAAATTATGATTATTATCATTTTTAGAACGCTTATCTAACTGTTATCCTTTTCATTCGTGAATCAAAAAAAATCCAAGTTAAATCATAATTTATGTAAATGTAAAGAGTAATCCAATGAAAGTGAGGATGGAGTTACTTTCGTTTTAGAGAATATTTTCTTTTTTTATAGGGAACTCTTTCGAATTAACGGTGTGAAAAGCGTTTTCTTCGGTGAAGATTATATTACGATTACAAAACAAAAGGAAGTCGATGATTGGGCACTGTTAAAACCTGGAATTTTTGCAGTACTTATGGACTATCTACAGTCAGAGAAACCAATCGTAAATGAAGGTGAAATGCCAAAGAGTCCCGAAGATACTGGTGAGTTTTTACAAATTTCTTAATGTGGTGTTTTTTGTCATGGAAAGAAGGAAACGTTGATTTCAAATTTGGTATTTCTACTTTATATATTTGCTAAGATTCTGTTTTCATATTTAAGAAATACATCCGGAGGATAGTGATACAGTCGCAATGATCAAGGAATTGTTGGAATGCCGTATAAAACCAATGGTGCAAGAAGATGGTGGTGATGTGATATATAAAGGTTTCCGTGATGGTGTAGTGTATCTTAAAATGCAGGTAATGAGATAACATGGATTGAAATTACAAAAGGCTCAGAATTTCTATCTCTGTATAACGTATGTCTAACACTGTTTCTTATATTTCCAATTTTGCAGATTTGATTTTATCTTGAATATTATATACATCCTGCTCTTTAAAATCATAACAACCATTTAGTTTTCAGTTGTCATACTTTTCAGGGATCATGTACGGGATGTCCAAGTTCATCGGTGACACTTCAATCCGGTATTAAAAACATGCTACAATTTTATGTGCCTGAAGTAAAAGATGTTGTAGAGGTTAAAGATGAAGCAGATAATATTTCGGACTCGGCTTTCGATGATCTGATGAGCAAAATTAGGGTAAGACCGGACTCGAACAAGAAAATTAAGAAATGAATTTTCAAATTTGCCTCTTCAAATGTTTTGAATAATGCAATGAAAAAATAAAGAATAATAGCTGATAAGTAAAAGTGAAGAAATAGGATATTCTTGACTGCATTGTCGCCTTTTTAAATAATTTATGCCATATAGTTTTCACACACGGAGAGACAATCATCCTTTTTGGGAGATTTTGAATTATTGTGAAGTCTTCGCAACAATAACAAGTTTTAAAATGGCTATTGCCGAGTATTGATTGTTTCGACAAAGTTCAGTAAAGCTAACCAATCATGGATATTGCATCGCATGCACAATATCTAGTAAATACAAAATACCAAAAACTTCGTACTACTGTCAGAGATGCAAGTCCAACAAGTAACCGGAATCTGCAGTCTGTGTATTCAGAGATTTACTCTTTTTCTAATATATAAATATATGCTAAAAAGTACTTAAACACATCTAATCATACGTCTTTTGAATAGAAATGATTAATATTTTACACATGTAAACAAGTTGCAATCGAACAGATTTGCTTTCTGATCGTTTTTCTTTAATTGTTTAAGGTTGAGTGGTTTCTCTTTTCCCAACTCTAAAAGACACATGTGACACTCCAATTTCGATCACTCACCATTTTTTAGTATAGTTTGTTCAATCCTTATAGTATAAAATCTATCATAATTACTTTCCGTCAGCAGTATCGTTCATCGCAACCAACACTTCTTTACGGAATAAATTTGTCAATGTATTTCATCTCTGAATTACTGCTAACGCATGAATTTAATTTTGCCGTGGACTCTTTAATCTTCAATTTTCCTCAAACCAATAAAAACCATTGAAATGGAATTATTGTTTAAAGACACCACGACTTGATAAATCACGATTTGATAAGTCTTGTTCTTATCTAAAATTGGGCATCGTATGTTTCTAATTTAAATCAAATATTTGCTTATTCGTTCGTCTCTTTCTTAAATTACAACGTGACCAGTGGTTTTATGTTCTTAATTAAAAGTGCACCTCTTATTTAGGTTTTCTTTTTCGAATATTTTCAAAAGCAAAACCAGAATCATTAGAAATATTTAATCTACTCAATGACTATTGTGCGAACGGGAAAGATAAACTGATGTGGCACAGTAAATTGCTTATGCCTTTTTTTTCAAAATTTGATTAAACGGAGCAGAGAAAGTAATATGCAAGCATTATTTGGCAGTGAAATAAACTTTCCAGGTTAAAATTCGTCAAACTCATGTTCGTACAATATATACAAATATCATCTATTGTACATACACAACATAAATTATGCAAATTACAGACGTTACCTGACTGTACAGGTTACCTCCCACTTAGATGGTTATCCTTATTCGATAAAAAAAGACCAAATACGTGTTGTTTTGATGATGGGTGATAATCAGCTAGGCTAACTCAGACACTGATTTCACTCATTGTCTCTGTTCATTGCATAATGTGGCATACAAACTGAACCTTTTTAATATTCGTATTGTTTCTAGGTGGAAGTCGAAATTTTTATTTTCGTAAATAAGATGGTCGCGAAGAGTTGTCGCAGTGTTTTGGAACGGATAATTTATGTAGAATTGGTAAAAATGAACGAACGAAACAGAAGGAGAAAGCAGAAGTTTGTGGATATCTGCTTTGTGAGTTTTCCAGTTCTTTATGTCTTTGCTCTTCACCATCCATCGCAATAAATTTCGTCTTCACTATTGTTTGAGACAATCTTTCCGTTGTTTGTCATTTTCAGTCAATCAGTTATCTCCAAAAATTGTACATCTCAACGACTAAAGTGATACTGCAGTTGGAGAGCGGAATGCCAGATTATATCAATGAATATTTGTAATATCCAATAATATTCACGCAGATAAAGTCAGTTAGTGGAAATTGGCGGTAAAGTTCACAGAGATATAGATGATCAAGTGCTAAAAGATTGGAAATTGTACTCTGGAAGCGCCAGTTTACGTCTTTACGTCGTGTTACTGATAATAATGCTAAAGTGATGATACTCAAAATGGAGTTGAGGCATGTTATTTTATAGCAGTAGAGAGTAATGACCAGAGATATTCAATCTTCGAATATTACAGCTTATATTAATGCCAAAATAAAGTTAAATATAATAGCACAATTATAGATAAAAGCGGAGATAAAGTTGCAATAAGTCGTTCTTGTGAAGTCGTATTGGTTGATAGCCTCAATAGTGAAAAATGGAGACATAATGTGCCTTACGGTTCTAAGCCTCATGCGGATGAAGGTTAGTTAATAAAAACCGCCGATAAAGTTGCAGAACAGATTATGTTTTTGTGTTGAAATGTGATTTTCGTCAAAACATGCAACTATATTTTAGATTTGGTGTCATCATCTGCATTCATAGATTCAATGAGGAATCGTTGGAAAAAAGGGTTAATTGTGTAAGAGTTTTCACGAAGACAATATGATGACTGTAAAACAAAGGAGGATATTGTAAAGGTGAAAGTTACTATTCTGTTTTGAATTTCTATATTTGCTGCTTACATTTTAGTTCTTTTTGAAGCGTAAGATTGGATAGTAGAAGCAGTTTTTTATTCCTCTTACTTATCAATGATTTTTTTAATAGAAACATCTTTTAATGGTTATTGAAAAATGCCATAAAGTTCCATAAAACAGCGTGTGAAAGAATATTTGCACATAAATTGCTTGTAATGAAAATACCGAATAATTTACCTTAAAGATTACAAATAAAAGAAAAAAAAAGAAACTTTAAAGAGATTTAGAAATAGCTGGCACCTCATGTCATGCGCAAAACAGTGAAGCTCTATTAACTTCTGTCCCGAAATTCTCATCATAACTCATATGCAACTTATATAAGATATTCTGAATTGGCGAAATATTTATGCATGAGGAAAAATTTTTAAATGTTCATGTAAGTTGAATATGAGATATGGCTGTTACTCAGTCTTTTTAGTCAAAATACATTACAATTAAATTTTACCTATAATCATTCTGTTATTGAAAGTCGTGTTCTACATTTGAATATTTGTAAGGATTTAATTTCTTATATTTTTTAAAAATTTGATCATAGTTTTGAGCATAATCATCCTTATTTCAATATCAAGATTTTTCAAATTCTATCATTTGAAGTTGATTGAAAATAAGGTGAACGAAATTATAACATCATTTTTTGAAGATCTGATGCAAAGTTTGATATCAGTAGTTATTAAAATCTTCGATTTAATATAATACGCGATAAAGCAAAGAGAGTGGAAGTTATTCGATTGATAATCTGTTTATGAAGACGATTAGTCATTTACATGTATTCACTTGTTTCTTCTTTGTTTGTTCTTGTTTTGTTTGTTCTTTTCAAAATACGCCAAAATTCGTCAGATGGGAAAACTGATTGGTCATGTATGATTTGGAAATATTGGAAAGATCCACTTGTGAATTAAAAAAAAGTAATGGCATTGGCTTAACAAGTGAAATAGTGATTTGAAAATGACTAATTTGTAGTTGAAAGTGGAAGTTTTGGAACTAAATAATCAGACAGACTAATTCGCCAAATTATGAAGAGTGGCTTTTCTAGATTATCATGAAAACATAGGGTAATTCATATTTCGCATTTTCATAATTCCAACTACATTGAGCTTGCAATCACTCTTTAGCAATTATAACTTCATAATAAAATTCGTTTCTTTGCTTTGAATTGCTTTTGTATTTTTGTTATGATATGTGTTTCTAATTTATTGTGTTTCATTGTTTTGGCATATTTATAATTTAGAAATTTTTGAATAAAGATGATGACTCTTTCTTTGTGTTAATTCCGATTGTTTCGTGCCGACTGGTTATTTTAATGATATTTTCTGCATTTTTTGTTTAAAGGCATTGTTTGCTTTTTATACATATATACATACAGTATTTTTTGCACAATCATGCACTAATTGGCCTAAATTTGAACGGATCCGATTATAATTTCCGGTTCACCCTCTTATCACTTCGAACAATTTTCGGTGGGTATCAATATTGTTTCTGCCAACGTCTGACTGATTTTTGAAGGCTTTCACACAGGCTGATGAAATCTTATTTATGTTGTAGCTTCAGTAATAGTTGTGGAGTCGACTGAAATTATCGACTAATATGAGCGAAATTTCAGTGAATTCATTGTGTTTTGTGTTTTATATTTAGATCGCTTCAGATTTCGCACTCCATTTAATATTTCGTTTCGTCCTAAGTTCAATTATGTTAAAGTACCTTGTAAGTTTTTTTTCGAACTGTTCCATATTTGATTGAAAAATATTTTGGAATGTAGCTAGTCATCTTGCTTTCAATTACCATATATACATTAATGTGCAGATATGAAGTTGATGTCCAAAAGTTTTCAGGCATCTTTTGGTCTCGGGGTTTATGTTGGTATCTATCTGGATCAAAACCGCCAGGTGAATACTTTTTATTGTCACCTTTTTATTGTCATTATAAGTAAACTGGGTAGCCCCTAAATGACTTTAACAGAGTAGTATTGTTAAGAATAGTTCAGAGAAATCAAAAGTTGATTTGTTAAAAAAGTTATGAGTGGCATACTAGTATATATTTGAAAAAATGATTATTATGGACATGAATTGTTGAGGTAGAAATTGACATTGTGCCGGAAAACTAAAGGCAGCTAATGGAAATTAATAGAAGTGCAACCTAAAAAAATACTTTGATTAAGAGTAAAGAAGATTGTTTTAGATTCAACCACTTTCTTCACCGAAAGAACTGTTTAGTCGTTTCTTGGATGAAGCTGATCACTTTCTGACTGGTGTTCGTGAAGAAAATATGAGTGACCGGGATCAAGTGAGGAAAATGGAGGAAGATTTCTTCAAGGACGTAGAGGATTGGTTCAAACCGAAGAAGCGTTATCCATAATCGTTATTGTACTCATATGTTATTTGTTGTATATATCTATAAGAATTCTTTGTAGTTTCGTTTTTTGACTTTTGCTATGAGCTATACCAGCATCATCAAAGTTAAGTCTCTAAAATATTGCTTACTTTCAAATCCTTACACTCATTTCAAGCGTTTGTTATTGGTAGTTTGTTAGTCGTCACGATCCACGATTAGCAAGAAAATGTATAAATACTTTTAATAAGACCATTCTGCGTAGAAATTATTAGTTCTTGTTTTCGACATGTTAGAATGGATCAAGTGATGATGAATACTACTCAGAGATAAAAATCTATGCGGAAGATGAAATATAAAGTTCCAACATTCATATCTAGCATATAAACAAATGTAGTCTAAAGCGCGATTTGCCTATTGTGCTTCTGTAATAAACAACTGGATATCTGAATGATTTTTTGATATTCTGACATTTTACTGGACAAAAATGCTAGATTGTGGAGAGAAGGTCATGTGTTGTGCTGCTCGGCAGTTTTTTAAACGATATTTACTGAAATTTGCACGGTTCACCTATTTCTGTGTAACCTATTACATAGTAACAGAACTTTTAATTGATTTCTTCGTATCAGAAATCATATGATATTGGAAAGAGCATCATTTTATGTGTGCTTGAATTTCATATTTTAACCTAATTATAAAACATGTAATGCCTTTCAAAATTCCATTAAGTCTTTTTGATGTATTATTATATTTAATAATATATCGACGAAAGTTCTACAATCTCTTAGAAGAGACAGAGCACTATGAAATGATTGTAGCTATGTTTGGACATGTTGATTGCGTTATGGAGTAAAAGAATAGGATGAAATAGAACAGTTATGGAATAGAATCATTTTGTATGAGATGTTTTTGAAATTTCAAAACATAGCAATCTTCATTTGGCTAATTACTTCATTTGGCCGGTTAGAAAATTAATACACTGTATTGTTAAACAAGAAGCTAAGAAGCGGAATTGCATTGGGAGTGTTATCATCAATTGGTATTTGTCAACGACTTCAAAATTTTCCGTAGTTTTCCACAACCTTAAATATTCAAAAATACTCCGAATCAATTTTCTACTTTAACAATCTTATTTATTTAGGAATTTTTTATTCTCTAATTCAAGCATCTCTTCTAACCTTCATTCATATTTTGTTTTGAATGAAAGCAGTTCTTATTTTCATTTAAATCATTGACAGCATAAAAAACACACACACACACACAAACGAATTTTTCCTTTTTGATTTTAGAAAGTATAGAAAATTCAGCACTTTCGATACTAAATATTTTAGTGCTATAATTTGAACAATGCGATACATTGAATTATAGAGTATTTTTGTGTAATGAATATTTAGAAGGTCTGGAATGAAATGAGGGAAATCAATTTTTGATTATAAGTTTTGTTGGATTGTTTTAACAATATGTTGAAAATGTAATACGAAAAAGCATTTGTAATACTGCGACAGGTGTTGTTTGCAATGGACGCTTAATGATAAATCATTGAGAATTCGTGTTGTGGTTGAGAAATGATCCATTCATTGACTGATTAATTTCGAAAGGATTTGAATTGTTAAGCAATCCCTCAAACTTTCTGCTTACAAAAACAATGTCAGCATATGACTGCACTTCAAGTATTGGACAATTGAAGTAGCCTCCTCATTTATTTACAATTCCACAAGAATTATGCCAACAGTTCATCATATGAGCCTAACAAAATACTGCTATGGAGAATGTTAAAAGCTAAGCAATCAGGTCAAGAATACTTTTAAGTTCTGATCTAAATTGACTAAAAAGTAGAAAGGACAGAATGGTTAATTCCACAGCATAATTATTTAATAAAAGATTTTAATGATGAAAGAAAAAAGTTATTGTTTTAAGGAAATTTGTAGCAAGAACAGTAAGAGGAAGAAAGAGAGAGAGTAAAGAGCTTGCAATGAAAAATGATTCAAGCAATTTATCGTATTCTAAAATTTCAATAGAACTTCAAAATTAAAGGATAATTTGGACAAGAGGAAATATGTTTACGGCGAGAAGCTCTTCCTGAAGTAAAGGATAAATTTAATTTTCCTATGTGATAGCGATTTTTTTCTTTGCAAAAGCTGAAAATTTTCACTAGATGTAGTTATAATAGACGTATTACCTGATCCAGTTAGATCGGACATATTGCTTAATTAAATAGATTGAGCGTGTTGCTTTATATAGCTATCATCAAACAGTTTCTGAATACATTTAAAATTAGGATTTTCATTTTATTGATATTTTACTATAAGGAATGACAACATTACAAAATTTTATTTTAAATTTTAAAATTTTTTAGGTTGAGAGAACATATCGGAATTCGGTCGCACTGTTTACTTGATAATTTGTTGTGGAATGTGGAAAAACTAATGTAATACTGATGTGAGACGCAGTTGTCAATGGCCTACTTTAGTCATTAATGATATATCATGGCCTGGTGGAGTAGTAGACTAGTTGGACTAAGTGATAGATATCCTCGGCTACTAATATTATTACTGAGTAGCTATCTGGGAAGTAGTAGGCGGAAGATTGCATATTTTGTTGATATTGGATGGATAGAGCGAAGAAAGCGAATTTTTTTTTGAGCTTCATAGATATTAGTATAGCTTGAGAGTTTTGCCAATGGCTAACTGCAGCTGCAGATGCAGTAGTGCAGTAGTAATAATAGTAGTGTGAGCAGTAGTTGCCACTAGATTATTGGTGCAGACTAGAAGGATAGGCTTTGTCGTCGTTATCAAATGAAAGTATTGGGTTGGAGAAATGCAAGGATGAGTTTCTGAATGGTGACAAGGAGTGCGGCGATTACGACCGTATTTTATTTTCATTTTTATCTCTTCCTTCTCTCTCTTCCATTCTTCTTTCCTCATCCTTTTCTTTAAATAAAAATCTTGAAAACATCATCATCATCATCATCATCATCATCATCATCATCATCTATCGATTTTGGAAACAGAATAGGAAGGCTCGGAAAATTGTTGTGTTGGTGAAAATTTTAAGTTGAATAATTTCAGATGGCAAACATGGAAAAATCGCATGAGTCAAATAATGTCATTAATTTGCCGGGGCCAAGTAACGTAAATTGCAATACATGGAATCGTGATGTCGGATATACAAGTACGATAGATACAGGGTCTCAACCACCTGAGTACCATCAAATTGTACCTACTCTTCGTTCAAATGTTGAACAAATGCGGAAATGTATTTCTATCGACTTATTATCGGCAAGTCAAAGAGAAGCTAATTTCTTGCGAATGATCGATCGGAAAGCTCCAATACTTTATCAACAAAGTGTCATCGAAAATGCTGTCCGACGCTACGAATGTTTTTGGCTTCCAATGCAGGTAACTTTTTAGTTCCTCAAATACTTCGTTAAAATAATATGCATATCTCAAGAATTGAGCTTTTGTTAAAAATAAGTCAATCAGAACTTTGAAATCTTTTTTGAAGACTGACTGATTTTTTACTGAACTTTGTATCTTTGCAAGTAGTGAAGATGTATGTGTCTGAAAGAATGTCTTTTTAAATATTCATCTGCTTAAATACTGAGGATGCGAATGTTGAAGGGAAATATTTTGTCAAACAGTAAAATATCGGCTGTCATTGTTGGTTCACTTACTCAACAAATTTTTCTAAATGTGGATAAAAGTTGAAAGAATGAGTCTTATTTCTATGCAAGATTTCAGAATATTTGTAATCAGAATTTTATTTATCAGATAAATTTTCCTCATTGATTCTTTTTCTATTCTATTCAAAAGAGGAAAAACGGAACTGAAATAATTTAAGTTATATTTTAAAAAAAAGAAACATATCTTGTAATTATTGTCTAAAAAATGATTCGGTATTTAAAAAAAATTTCTACAGGCTTCCTAAAAAATTTCCGATTCAGATTTTTTCGTCTAAAACTAACTTCTTAAGTAAGCTAATAAATTAATGGACATTCCCTGAGGCGTTTTGAGGGTTGATTTTTTTCCTGACCAATTTTTCTCATCAATAAAATGAGCACTTTACTCATTGAGCCTACTGTTTTTAAAAAAAAATATTTCTGACAACGCATAAGGTATAAATGAAAAAGTATGATGAAGTGATGAATAGAAATCTGAAGACAAGTACAGATGTCATTAGTTTAATCTACTTCGTCACTCTTTCTTTCAATTTTTACAAAAATTTTACGTTCTTATGATTTGCCACCATTTTTGCAAGCCCACTTAAAAGTTAACGACAAAGAAAAACTTTCAGAAAAATTACGCAAATGCTAGCTTATAGTCAAATTCTGCAGATAGTATTCAACTTTAAGCCATAAATAATGATTTCATACAATCAGTATAAATTAAGAGTGAAGAAAAGGTCTAACTCTATACATGAAATGAACCAATGAGAAATGTTTGATAAGTTCACAATGATAATTTTGCTAATTGTTAATCTTAATCGGGAAGAAACATACTATGAAATCAAAAGGTTTTGAGAAGGATAGTTAGTTTAAGGATAGTTAGTTTAATGAGCAGAATGTTGTATTTCGAGATGATAGATTTATCAACTGAATTAATTAATGAACTTATCAATATTTATCGTTATATTAATAATCAAAATCAACAAATAAATTATATGAGCGATTGTATTTTGATCTGTCACTATTGATAGGAATATATAAGATGCAATGTGTGGTATTTGTTCACATATAATATTCCGTTATTTTGTTGACTAAATTTTTGCAGGCAGCCCAGCCAGATGTGAGAAATATACCGCCATTAGATGTTCATTGGGTATGGCATTGTCATATGCTTAGTCCAATACATTATCAACAGGTTTGTTTATTTAGAGTAGAGACAATTTTTTTAAAATAACATTTTATTTTAATTCATTCGATGATCTATCATCCATTATATTTCAATTTTCCATAATCTATTAATGAGTATGCTTGGAAATATCAGCAATTAGCGCTTGTTTACAGTTTGGATATTTCCACTTATATCAAAAATCCTGATGAATAAACAGAATTATCGTGAGTAATTCAGGATTGTGAAACGATATGTGGAACAATGATTGATCATAAATTACTTAGTTCGGATGAAATTCAACAACGATATGAACAGTCTGTTAGTATTTGGCAAAGTTTTTGCGGTGATGAACCTTATGATTTTTTGAGTTCCAAAATGAACAACCATCAATCATATCAGTCACGATCATCGTATGATATTGCCGCCGCTGCACAACGGCAACGTAATTTTAATTATCAGGTGGCACTTTTTATAAAATTGATCCTTTTTCTTTTATATTTTAAGGTTATTAAAATCTTTTAGAGTCAAATGTTTCGCAAAAAAAAGATGAACAAAATTGACACTGTTCTTTCAATAAAATTTTAAGCTTGGAGTTTTCCTAACTTCCATTAACTTCCAACACATTCACTTATTTTTTCCAGATCTCATTGCCACACTATACGTCACCAAAATTTATTAGCGACGCTGTAGAACGATACCTCAATTTTCTGTTATTGAAACAAACTTACACAGATCAATTTTTAACGCCTTGCTATGATTTTGATATTGTGTGGCATACACATCAGGTTCCTTGCTTTAAGATATTTTTAACCAAGATGAAGCGTAAATTTTAAAAATCTACATAGTTATGTAATTTTTTTATCGAGTTGTGAATTAGAGAAAAAGAAGCTCTTTAAGTTTCATATATTGAATTTTTACATTTTGATCAGTTTAGGTCCATCCACATTCTTACCTGCGTGATTGTACAGCAATTTTTGGTTGGTTAATGAAACATGATGATACAGTGAATGATCGTAATAAGAATAGTAAGTTACTCAAAGGTGAAGCGATGACAAAGAGGCTTTGGGCTGCGCATTTTCAAACTGGATTTTGGCGCAGAGGTTCAATGTACAGGTATCACTAAATGCTGAATATTTCCAAAATTCAAAAAATTGATGAAATTTTTTCCAACATTACGTTTTTCAAAGGATATTTTCCCTTTATGTGTTGAGTTGTACGTTTAAATTTTACAAACCATAAACTTCATTTTTAAAAAATTTACTTATCTAGTTCATTAGATATTTTCTGAGATGTGATTAAACAATTTCAGAGTTCTCTGTTCCGGATTATCAGCCTCTAATCCCAATTTCCATTAGGTAGCGCTAGCACCACTTCTAAGATCATCTAAAACATTTTATTATTGCTGAAAGATCAGGCGAAAAAAATTCCAATTGTCAACAGTCCTGTGAATTACAGTCTTTCATTTTAGAGGACATCCAGCGCCATCTTTTTTGGGTTTTGAAGCGCAAGATTTGAGTAGTATTACTTATGGCCAGGTGCACATACCATCAATCACTCTTCGTGAAATTCCATTACAACGAGAACAAGTCCGCTTGAAATTGCTGTACGGAAATAAAAAAGTTACAACATTCAATGCAGATCTCACCTCGAAACAGGTAATGTACCGAGAACTTCAAATCTCTTTTACTTTTTCGAAAATTTCTCCAGAATGAAAATTGTCAGTTTCCCATGATGCAGTAATTTTTTCTTTTTCAAATCAGGTGACAAAATCTGGCTTCTCATTGGTCTGGCAACCAACCGAGAATTCTGCAAGCCCATCAGTTGTAAAATTTCCATTTGAACGACGCAATCCTAAAGAATTATCTCTTGAATTGGAACTCTTCGACAAGGTATTTCTGCAAAAGAAAGATGTAGTTAAGTTAACT